CCTTCGCCTCTCCCGGTCCCCGCCGGCTCTCCAAGCCCTGCTTCACCGCTCCTTGCAGCCTGGGGCTCCGTCTCCTCCTGCTCTTGAAGCCTTCCCCTCTGCAGCGCGTCCCCCGCCCGGCCTGTGCCGGAGCTGCAGGGGCTGCTCCCCGGCCCCCCGCCTCCTCCCCACGCCCCTTCAGCCGCCCCCAAGCCAAGCTGCTCCAGCTGCACAAGGGCCCTCAGAGGCGCCTTCAGTGGGGACCAGGGCTCCCCCTGAGCAACAGCTCCCGCACAAGAGAGCCAACTAATTGCTGTCTGTGCCCTCAAAGTAAAAAAATAACAAAAAGAGACAAAAACTCAAGATACATCCCCTCCAAACAGGCCTGCTAGCTATTTCAGCTCACCAGCAACACATAACAAGGACTTTTCTCTTCTTCACGGGGTACCAGGAGGAGTCATTTCCACAAAGCTTCAGGGAAATAGCACTTACCTGGGGAAGGACGCCGTTATTAGCTCCCCGAGCCCCAGCAAGCGCCGTCACTTTCCTCACACCCACAGCTCAGCACTCCAGACAACTTGCCAAACAGCAGCAGCAGCAGCAATACAAAACACGGGAGAAATCAAAGTCTTCCCCTGCCTAGGTCTGGGCAATTTATTGTTATTTCTTGTTTAGCCAGAAAGAACAGCAGAGCGAAGGGGCTGATGCTGGGCCCACGGCGTGCATTCCCTGGGAGGAGGGATGTGGCCATTTGAAAAGCTGCAATGCCTCTTGGAGGGGGAGAGAGGGTCCCTGCAAGACACTCTCAGCAAACCTTCCTTCTGCTGGGGTGATTCCTGTGCCGTGAAAGATACTTCCCACCCCAGCAACCTGCACAGATGGACCCGCAGCAAAGAGCTCTTCCAGAGATAAAGCCTTCTGGAGATGCAGAGCCCTGCCTCCAGCTCCCTGCTCTGCACCGCTGAGCAGGGCAGTTCCAGCAGAGCTAGGGCAGTTGGGCAGCTGACCTCATCCCACGGAGCATCACCTCTGAAGCACCAAGACCACGTCAGGCAGTTTAGGCAGACAAGAGCAACTGTGGAAATACCACTTCTTCAATGCTCTTGTGCTTGCGGGGATGCCTGGTGCAGCTGAGGGAGCGCTGTTGCGGCACCGTGTGAGGAGAGAGCTGGAGGCTGCCTCACCGGGACCACGGCTGTCACAAAAAGTGCCCCAAATAGCACCACGCAGGAGAGAGGTCAGCCCATTACTCCCATGTGTTCACCATCCCCTCTCTAAAGAGAGCTTCCAAACATGGAGGCCAGTTTAGCCCTCTTCCCCAAATACCATCACCTCAGCTGCCTGCTTCTGCACTTCCCAAAGCCGGGGAAGGTGCTGCTCCACTCCTACCCACCACACTGGAGTGGGTAGTAAAGTCCAGAGTGGGAGCCCTGCTCATCGGGGAAGGCTGGGCAGGGCACAGGCTGCTGCCGTCTCCCGGGGTGGGAAGTGCAGCCCACAGCCCTGCGGTAGCTTTCCAGCCCGCTGTCTCAAAAGGCCAACTCTCGTTCACCAGGTAGGAGCCAGCACCCACCCAGAGGCACGGACACTGGGGTGCTCCTGGCCAGGCTCAGGCTCTGAGGCTCGTCTTGGCTTTATGAAGCACAGTGCCTTCGAGCAGCCACACGCTCAGTTAGGATGGTAAAACAAAAGCCTGATTTTTTACCATCTCCCTCTCATTTCTAGTTCCCTGGTGGTGAGCAAAGGGGCTCGAGCAGCAGGACCAGCTGCTGGTGACTGCAGAAGGGGGAAGCACAGAGGGACAGAGCCTGTGGGACACCTCGCTGTTGCTAACCCTCAGGAAGACACAGGATCAAGATGGAGAAAGCAATGCTTTTCTCACAGTTCAGAACAAAGGTCAGGTATGAAAAAGGCATCGAATAAGTCAATATATACATGACAACATTTATTAGTCATTTTTACACATCACACAGTGGCAGACGCACCCTGAGAGGAGCTGGCTCTTGGACCCTTCTGCCTCCAGCCCGCGGGGCTGGCCCTGGGCTGGGACCATAGGCAATGTCTGACACGTTCTGCAGGGCAGAGCTGGGTCCTGCTCAGCTCCCAGGATCAAGTTAAATAGACTGTTTAATATCGTACAAGGGGCACACCCTGGATAATAGCCATTAAAGTTGATGGGATTCAGTTCCTTGCACCACAGAGGAGAAGGGAGAGCCCAGGCAGAGCCCCTCGCGTCTCACTGGATAACCCCATCTCCCAGAAGCTCCTTTCAAGCTGGATCACCGGTATGAAGGGCAACATTTCAACCTGTGTCTGCCAGTTCAGCATTTACAGCAGATCAGGTAAGGCACTAGTCAGGTCATTGCTTGGACACAGTTCACAGCCTTGGTGTTGCTGTACGTTTGTGCTCCTATGAGCAGCGGCTGGGATTTGGCTGCAGGAGGCACCACCGCTCATCTCCTCACCCAGGGCCCTCCTGTGGAGCTCCAGGGAGTGTGTGGCACTTGGGAAGGACCCCACTGAGCCCCTCCTGGGGCTATGGGTCACAAGCTCCCCCCACGGGGTCCTGTCAGCCTCCTGCTACCAGCTCAGCCCAGGCAGACGCCAGTGGGGACAGCACTTATCCCAGCCCCAGGGGAAGGGAGCTGAGGGAGGGGCAGGGACTGAGGGCCAACATCACTGCTACGCTGGTAAAGCCCAAACTGATGTAAACTAGGGAAGGGAAGCATCCTGGCAGGGATGCTTCACCTGCTAGCCAAGAAGCTTGAGGCTCACATCCTCTGTTTGAGGACATAGGTTACTTTTGGGGTTGGAAGAGGCTGCTTCTGGCCACAAAATGCTCTTTAAGCAGCCCCTGTCCCCACAGATTGGTGCGAAGGGGTCAGTGCTACTCCAAGCTAGGAGGAGAAGCTGAGGCACAGAGATGGCAGGGAAGACTTGTGCAAGGCCGTGGTACAAACGTGCGACAAGGTTGGTCCCAGGGCACGTGAGTGCCTTGGCCCACATCCTGCCCTCCTAGTACCAGCATACAGAGGCAGAGTGGGATCTTCATCATGGCCCGGAACCAAGAGGAGCACTGAATGAGGTAGGGAATGGTTCCTCCTGTCCCTACGTTAACAGGGTGAGCCTAAAACCAGGCAGCATCATATTGGCCAGAAGAAGCCACTGGTCTGAAGGGGAAGAGCAGCTCTGAAGGAGCCTTACAAGTTTGGTTCCAGAAAGAAAAAGATGTTCTGTTTCCCCTCCGTACACAACCTTAAAAAACAGCAGGGGTTTTCCAGTTCAGTGCTGTTCCCACTGGCAACCTACCGGGGCTGCCCCGCACACAGAGTAGCAGCAGGTTTGGGCTCTGCTCTCCTGCTCTCCCCCAGAATTGGGGACCATGGAGTGGGCAGTGCTGTTTCGAGAGGAGTTTCCTTACCTTTTCCCAAGGAGAGACTGGCACATGCAGGATCCAAGCAGTCCCTGGGAAGGAGTCAAGGCACAAGGCAAACCCGAGTGATGCAGAGAAGAGGAAAAAGCAGAACCACGGCTCTGAGGTCTCCAGCCCCTGGTCACCTCCCCTCTCCTCCTGCTATCAGCCTGCGACAACCCGCACCTCACTCTGGCATGCCACCCGCTGCAAGGCAGACACACCAAAGGCCAATGCGCAAGTTAATCTGAAGGCTGTTATCCAGAGTGACCTCCTCCTAACCCCCATCACACCCATCCCATCAGGCATCTGAGCTCCAGACAGGAGTAAAAGTTTCCCCTTTCCCTCTCCCCCCCCTCCACCCCAGTCTCCTCTTCCCTCCCTGGTTTTATTCCCCCTTTGATTTCTGGATGTTCCTCAGATAAGTCTTGAAGAAGAAGTTGCAGAAGAGCCCCAGGAAAGTGAAATACAACATGAATGAAAAGAAAATAATTGTCCAGGTGGTGTGGCAGACCTTATCTTCCCTCCAGAAGATGATCAAAATATTCATTATTACATATGCCAGCATCTGCAGCATCTGCGAAAAGGTGATTGCCATGGCGATGAAGCGGGATACCTTGAAGCCTGCGGCTCGCACGGTGTAGTAGGAGTACATGACAGCATGGATACTGAAGTTCAAGACTGCAACCCAGCCGCTGCCAGCCACCATATCCTTATAGCTATACCAAGTCATGACCATCGTGGTAACGTGGTGGTACCAGTGGAGGAAGATGAGCTGCTTTTTCCGGAGAACAATGAACACGGTGTCACCTTGGGTCGGGGGGAGAGGTGCATTGTTAGTCAGGTAAAAGCACAGCAGTTGCGCAAGTTTTCACGTGAGGCAGAATGAGCGAGCTGCAATGCTGAGGCCATTATGTGGCTTGATCCCACCAAAACCTCGGTTCCCATTGGAATTGTCTGTATTGACAAAGCCCATGTAGGCACCTACCTGCTGGCACGTTTGTGGTACAAGAGCCCCTTGCTCCAGGCTTGCTTACCTAGCTCTACCTACACAGCACTTCAAACCAGCTCTTCTGTAGTTTTTTGGATGGAAACTGGGTGGAAAGCCCAGCCCTCCCCTGCCCGCCTGCCTGCCATCCCCTTGCCGCAGTCATCCCAGTGCAGAATTGCCTAGTCCAGGTGCTGGCCTGGGGATCAAACCAGAGTGATAACATCAGCCTGCAACCCTGTGGAGACAGAGCATGTCGTCTGGGTTGAGCAACAGGGGGAGAGAAAATGAGTGACACGTGCAAGGCTAGACAGCCCTGTTCTCCGAGTAACATTTGGACAGAGACCTGTAAAAGAAACCTACTTGTAAAAGCAAAGGAGTTACGAACACGTGGGATAAGGAGAAGTTTCAGACTCACCAAGTTCCAGGAGTTTGCTCAGCACAAATAAATAGGTCCAAAGCTTGGAGATGGGGTGGACGTAGAAGGATGGACTACACACCGATTGCTTAAATCCCTTGGTAGAGAGGATGAAGGCCATTTGCTTCCAGACCCGATGGGCCCCCATGGCACTGCAACAAAAACAGAGGAGAGCTGAACACTGTGCCCAAGGCTTCACCAGAGCCTCCGACAGCTCTGCACCCAAGAATGTTTAGCTAACTCCACCTCGATGCCCAGGGCAGTCCCGGGGACATCTAAACAAACTGTTGTCTTCTTAGACTTTTGAGCAGGTTTCAGCCCCCTGTTCACTGGGCACAGGCTTGCCCAAGACCTCTTGGCCAGGATTTCAAACACACATATTTCTGCAAGACAAAGCAGGGAAGGGCTGCTGCCCACACCAGAACAACAGCAAGGCACAAGGAGTAAGTAGGTTGTGAGCCACCAACATGGCCCTTTGGCTTGCCTGGCACCATGCGGCAGCTCCTGGAGGATGGCAGCACCCACGCTCTGAGCAGCAAAGAATGCTCCCTCATTACACCCCCTGCTTCCACTGCTTGAAGAGGCACTCAAGAGTAAGAGCTGCCATGTCTGGTCAGAAAAGGGGGACAATTGTCCTGGTGTCCCATCTGCCGACAGGGCCCAACAGTGCATGCCCAGGGAGCATTTACAACCTCCTGTGGCAGGCAGTTCCTACAGCTTATGAGAAGAAACATCCCTTTTTCTTTGTTATCAACCTGTACGTTTCATTCGCATGAGCTTGTCTCCGAACAGACCGTGAACAGTCATCCCCTGAACCCCCATCTCCCACAACTTGTGATTTTACAGACCACTGCCATGCCCTACCCTCACAGAGGGCAACCAGCGTCCCTCAGACTTGGCCAAAGCCAACTTGTGCACGTAGGCAGAGACACTCCTCTGGAGTTACAGAGGCAGTAGTCTAGTTTTGCTCTCTTCCACCAAACAGACTGAAAAGGTGTGGAGATGAGAGGAATGTTGGAAAATTGCCATCTGCTTGTTTAATTACAGAGCATAGGCTGAATCATTCTCATGGTCACTGCAGGAAATCAGTACCGTAAGACTGGACAGTTTGAAAACAGATATTTTAGATTGATCTTCACATCTTGCATGGCTGGGGAGGGGGGGCAAATCAGAGCTAGAACCCGGCAGTAGTACGAGGCTGTTCTTAAAAGGCGTCTCTAAAAAATGGGCAGGAAAATAACCCTGTCTTTGTACCATCATTCTCCTGCCATTGCAACTACTCATTCTTTTTTCCCCTATATAAAAAACATACTGGAAAGACAACGCAAGGACTGGTGGTTGTCAGCAACTTTGATACATTCAACCAGTTTGTGCTACCGGCCAGAGAGGACCTCCCAGCCTCTTTCATGCTCTTCTTCAGATTTACAGTAAGAAAGGTGCTTCTGTGAGCGTACCAGAATTTTCCCCACCTCCTACACAACAGGGTTTGAAAAAGGTGGGGAAAAAAATCCCTAAACATCTCCATTTTTAAAAGTAATAGACCTCAAATCAAACTTATAATTATCAGGCACCCTTTGAACGAGGATCTCTGCTCTTGCAGACTTCACATTCAAATCTACCCACTAATGATTTTCAAGCACAGTCCCCAGTGGTCCTTCTGCAACTCATTTGACTTGCTGGAGTATTTCTGGTGGGGAACCAACCACCTGTATGAGCAGCTCACTTCCCCTTATGGGAAAGGGCCTCCAAGCGGAGAAAACCATTTATTTCCCTAATGACATAGTGGATACCCAGAACTTCCTATAAATCCATTCCTGAGGGAAGGTCTACAGCTGTCTCCGGCTTTAGCAAAGGCTCTTACCTGAACAAGGCCAGACTGAGGGACCACAGGGTCAGTGGTGCTTGCAGTTTGTAGCCTCTCCGTTCCTTCATGAAATGCTGGATTCCAAAGATCAGGATCACATAAGCCACAGCAAAAAATAAAGACTTGTGCCTGCAAGTAGAGGAGAGGCAGCAGTCAGGGGAAGACCCAGGCTGACCTAGTTCCAGCCGGGCTTCTGTAGAGCCAGCAGAGCGCTCTCACCAAGAAACAAAAGATCTCCCATTCTCATGTTAAGGTTGGGCTTGGTCACAAGAAGCCTACCCTGACAGCGGGCAGAGCTGACGAGGAAAAACCCTGGGGACTGCAGAAAAGAAAGCGAGCTGTTACATCGTGGAGATTTCCACAGGACCCTGATGGGATGAGGCAGGATCTGGTAACCTGCGAGCAGGGTCGCGAGCAAACACATCAATGCATTTTATCCACTTACACATGATACCCTACAGGCAGAGGATGCTCTTTGCCTAAAGAGGCCAGTTGCACCAGAAAGCTAGAGCCTCAAGGGCCATGTGTTATGTCCCACTCCTTTCCAAGGCTTTGGGGCAGCACAGCAGGGCTGAGCGCCCTGTTTGCCGGTGCAAGGGCTGCGGTGGCCATCCGTGGCTGCTCCTTGCCCTCTTGCCACATCACAACCTCCCTACGCACCGCAGCACGCCCTCGACCACCGTTTGCTCTGCTCG